TACTCCGACTTCCCGCGGTGGAACTCAAAATCATCGCGGCGGATCATGGACACCTCGAACACGTCGCCCAGCACCTCCCCCGCTGGCACAGAGAAAGGACAAGGATTGAGCACGGGGAGAGGAAACGCAGGTCGTCTGCGACGCGCGACACGGCTACAAGATCAAGCACAGACGTGCTCACAGCGCCGGCGCCTCTCACCCTGCTGCCACTGGTGGGCGTTGCCTGCCTTGCGGGCCTCTCCGTTGTCCATGATTATCTGAGAAATGGGACAGCGGGAGGTGGAAGCGAAAACGAGTTACAAACAACTGCTCGTGCAGAGTTAAAAAGTCCAGAAGGAGCCGAGTCGCAACTTGGTGATCTACTACTCCTCCTGCAAATGTTAATGGATTTCCCCAGCGTGATTGTGACCTGGATCTGCCACAGCTTCTGCTGTAGCAGGGTCAGCTGGCATAAAAGGTGTACGTGGTCTCAAACCACCATCAACATGGGAATCAAGTCGGAGAAAACATACCTCAGCTGACACTACTTACTAGAAGTTACACATCCTAGATATAAGGTGTTTTCACCTCCCTGTAGAGATGCTTTTCAGCAGAGTGCAGTGCAAACAGCAGAGGAGTTGCCACACAGACAGGAATGAAAGTGGGAGGGTGCTCACAGAGTAGTCTGAGCCCATGGCTCGGATGGCATGTCCAGTCAAGGTGGCGATGGTGAAGATCTCGGGGGCGACTTCGGATACGGCCTGAAACACACGGACAACCAGTTCCATTTTCGCACGCGGCAAACCCCGGACCCTTCACTGCTCAGGATTTTAACTATTCCACCTTGTGGTCCAATCTCGTGTGTCGCGTCCCTGGGATCAGCCCAGCCTGCTCAGTATTGGGATGCGACACCTCAATGGAGGGATTTCCATATTGATAGGGGGTGTGGGAGGTGCACCTCTTTGGAAGAGGGGATATACCGAGATCCACACTGCTCATTATGATCACAGTGAGGTTTTGAAGAATGGGAGTGCCGATGTCCATGTTCTAGCTTAACTCCACCCCTGGAGTGCTCAATCAGGCATGAACAAGGTCTGTTAAATGGTAGGAACATCTCCCTTCTGCACCTGATCTGCTGTGCTGAAATTCTGCTGGAGCAGAATGGCTGCCACACACACACAGCTACTGCACATCTGTGACTCTTCTCTGTTTCAAGATCCTGTAAGATGAAAAGTGCAGCATAATGACAGTATAGTGCGACCAACCTTCTCCTTCATCTCGCACAGCAGGTCGGCCATCACCATCCTGCCCTCAGCATCCGTGTTCCCCACGCGAATGCGCTGGCCCGCGCGGGACACGATCAGCTCGTCGGACACGTAGCAGTCTGAGAGAGAGGCGTGGAGCAAGGGCAGGAAGAGAATTAGAAGGCGAGGGAGGCAGGAGGGTAGACAAGCAGGCTAGACATGCCGACTGCTGGACACACACACACAGACTGACCTGCCCCGACACTGTTCCGAACCATCGCCATGGCACCCAGAACCTTCAGATGCTTGGGCTTCAGTTCTGCCAGTACCTGAGCCAATCAGAATCCAGCAACATGACATCATCAGAGAAAGAGGGGAGAGAGTGAGGTGTCAGAGTGCAGGAGGCTGATGAGAGAGAGAAGGGAGAGAGAAGGGAGGGGGGGGCAGTACCTGGAAGAAGCCAGCCACAGCGGCAGAGCCACACTTGTCACGGTGCATGCCTGCCATCACACCCCCAGCCTTGATATCGGCTCCCCCGGTGTCGTAGGTGATACCCTGAAAAGAGAGGGGCACAGTGACTGACACAGCACTACAAGGCAGAGGTGCAGATGTTCAGAGTGAGCGCGAGGTCTGACCTTTCCCACCAGCAGCAGGGTGTTCTCTATAGGCCCCTCTCCACAGTACTCCAGCTTGATGACTCTGGCCTGGTGGCGCACAACAGCTTGGAAACAACAAAACCACAATCACTGCACAGTACAACACAGCATACTATACGTGCACAGTTGTTTCTGCAGTACAGTCACTATAGGAATACACTGCCATTCCAGTCACTATGGGAACACACTGCCACTCCTCAGTACAGAGCAGTACAGTCACCTTGGGAACACACTGGCATTCCTACAGTACAGAGCAGCACTGTCACCTTGGGAACACACTGGCATTCCTACAGTACAGAGCAGCACAGTCACCATGGGAACACACTGGCATTCTTACAGTACAGAGCAGTACAGTCACCTTGGGAACACTACAGCTATGTACCGCAGCAACAGCACAGTTACTATGGGAACACACTGCTGTTCCTGCAGTACAGCACATGGAGAGTCACTGTGAACTGGTCCAGTCCAGTGCGGTGTGGTGTGGTGCTGAAGAACACCAGGGTGAAGTGAGGTGCAGTCCTGCAGGTGGGAAATTCTGCCTACCTTCCGGGTCCCTTACCATTGGCACAGCGATTCACCGCCGCCAAGCAGGGGTACTCCTTCTGCAGCTCCCCGATGTGGCTGATGACGCTGACCTGCGACGGGTGGAGATAGAAGGGGGAAAGGCCCAGGAGAGGTTTCAATGCATGGGCGCAGCAAAGACTCCCCAACACACTGGGCACAGCGTCTGCTGGCGTGACCGCAAGGCCAGGGGAGCAGACAAGAGCCAGGGGCACACAGGGGGTCCTACCTTCACCTCGGTGCCCTTGAAGAGGTCCTGGACATACTGCGCCACTCGGGGGGCCGCCATGCGCTCCGGGTCCGAGCCCCCAATGTCACGGCACACCACCCTGGCGGGGGGGGTAGATGAAGCTTTAGCACCAGGCAGGACTGAAAACGGGGGACCCTTCTCGGTCCAGACACAGGAGCAGCCAGGATCCAGCTCCACAGCTGCGTTCAGAACTGGCACCCTGGGGTTCCTGGATCAAGACGCTCGCAGTCCAGCAGGCAAGACCGGCCCCACAGCTCACCCGGTCATTTCTGACTTTGATGTGATTAAGACTCTTTTTTTCTGTCAGTATTATTTACACTTTTAAAAGCCAAGCTCCTTCCCAAAGGGCTCTGGTTCCATGAGAGCAGGAAAATGGCTGGGAGAAAAGGTGCATAGCACACAGACACTAGGGGGCGCTAGGTCTGAACTTGCCAACCAGGTGTCCATGATGGCTTACGTGCATGGGGATGTGGTCCCTATTGGGCCCCCCCATCTGAACATTCCAGATTCCACTACAGTTTAAACAATAAGGTCGTTTAAGATCTACCTTTACACACGCTCTATTCATCACCCTTTACAGATTTCACCCGGGACATTCATGTATTCTAGGATTTGCACACAAACACGCGTGCATGCTGACTGACCGGCCACTCTCCAGCGCAGTGGCCAGATGCGTGATCCTCCTGCCCTGCGTCTCCTCAGGCACCCACACCCCCAGTGTCTCCACCTTGTGGTCCTTCTCCATTACTGCAGCCTCCCGCAGCTCCAGTGGCTGAACGAGGACAGAAAGGGTTTCTTTTGTCACACATTCCTGAAACAGTGAGCCCCAGGAAGACAGTCCAAGTTCTCAAGAGGTCTTCTCAGACTAGGGAGCAGCATCATTCCTACACGCCCAAGCCAAACACTTTTAGGATGTCTTTGTAGAAAAATATTTGGCACAGTTAAATGTTAAAAAGTTATTTTATACCCACAAAAGGTTTGCTACAAGCTCCCCACATCCACATCACAGGCAGCACAGCCCCATACCGGAGAATCAGTGCTGATTGGAGGAGAGGTGCTGCAAGCACCAAGGAGGCCACAGGGGGCACTGTGGCACAGAGACCCAAGAGAGCCCAGGCCAATTAACCCCAGCCTTCTGTCCGTGAGGTTCGGCCAATCACCTGACTCCTCTTGGGGTCCGCTGGTGACATGACCCAGATTTGAACCCGTAGCCACAGAGCTGAACTCCGGCAAGAGCCTCTATTGGTTGAGCCACTCGGGACACCTCAGCATTGGACAATTCTAGCTTTACAGGAGGGGTGAAGACTTGAAAGGTTCTTACTGCTGTTGATAGGGAGTTAAATGCTCTGCACACAGCCCAGTATGTCAGCTCACGTGTGGCACGTCTTCAAGTCACTCTTTACACAACTACAACACACCCTACCATCCTGACGCAAGAGTCGCAAGAATCTTATACCAGAATGCTCTGCAGAACGGGTCAGATCAACAGGACCCGTCTGTCCAATCAAATTAGAAGAAATTAAGACTTCCAATACTGTTTAAAATACTTCTAATTCCTTTGAAAGACTTAATATGATCAAATTTAGCCATTTCGACCTGAAGAGGAGGAGAAATCCATGACAATGATTTGACGAAAAAGCTGGGCAACAGACCCCCGCTTTACAGTCTGGCTGTGACTCACCACATAGAGAGCATGCAGAGCACCCAGAACGGCCACCAGGGGGCTCTCCGCATAGCTGCTGTGAGGGGGACACACCAGCAGAGGGCGCTGCACACCAGCTTTCACAGCCCTGCACACAGAAAGGACGAGTCGGCATGGCGGCGCACAGAGACCGGCAGGATCGAGCCGGGGGACCGCGTCTGCACCGAAGCGGATTTTGGATGCGCCAAAACCCCATTCAGCTGCTGAGGTGGCATTTTATTTCGGGGGGGGGAATAAAAGATGAACTTGTTACCCTCAAAGACTGATTGCAAAGCTGCACTAAAGAAGGAAATTAAAGAGTTAAAGGGTGCTGCATAGGAAAGGAATTCTTTGTCTTTGCTCTCTCATTGCAATCGTCAGTCCTTAGCCAAAAACTTCCAATTCAAATGCTTCATTTTAAGAACTCCTACCGAAGCCCGTACAATTCATTCCTCTCGCGGGACCTGGCCGCGCACACTGACCTCTTGACCCCAGAGACCGCCGCGTCGCTGAACCTCCTGATGTCATCGTAGTCCCGGTTCACGGGACCCGTGCACGCAAACACCTGCAGGCGGGACGCGGGACAACAGAGAGGGGAGACGCTGCACATCTGGACACGCACGGCGGGTCACTGCGGCCGACTGGGCCTGTACTCACCAGCCGGTTCCCCGGCAGGCCCGGCACCTTCAGCACCACCACCTCCTCGCACAGCCCCCTGTCCACCTGCGCAGAGAGAGAGAGGGGCTCAG